GTTCATCACCCCTTGAGGTATGGGATCGGGAAATCACTTCCACTTTACAGTCAAATAAGACACACACAACGAAATACGTTTCAGCTCTCGTCTTAGTCGGTCAATCGAGCACTCTATAAGACACAGCGCCCTGGGGAAAAATCCCCAAGACTCTCTTAGACTGCGTCAACACTCGCCCAAGGCTCTCCAGGACTGCCCTCAACTCAGACTCTCCAGGACTGGACTCTCTCTACTGCCTCTATCGTGCTGTGCTCCCCAGGACCAACTCAAACTCTCTTTATTCATTTTCAAAACTCTAACCAATTACAAAGCAGTACAAAGACTCTAGGGCGTAACCTTCAATCATAAAGCCAATCACACTGAGTACTGAATACGTCATATCTTTTGATTAATCGCTCACTACATTAATAACTACGGATATAAACTGTCAAAATGAATAGTCTAAATAGCGGGCGGTTATCTGGTAATTAGTTCCAAATCACTGAGCCAAGTTCCCTCCAAAACTTCAAATAGGCCTAAACGATGACAGACATAACACAGCAATTCAGCTAATAATCAGTTAATTAAGTCGGTTAACAGATACGCAAAAACAAATTCATGACAGTATGTGTATTTCATTTCCAGTACTATTGTCTTGTCTACTCCATTCTAGCAGTGAAAGAACCCCCTGTCCAGTGTGAGTTCTGTGGGTGGCCCTCTCAATTGCAATGAGTAGGCCTTGCACTGTGACAGTAGTGTTCCAAATATCGAAATTCAGAGATAAATATACATATGTGCTTTTGGAATACCAGTCCCAAAAGACTGGTAAGTTCAGTGCATTTAATTTTGAATTGCAAAATGTGCGGAATTATACAGAATCTAATAATAAATTAACCCTGGGTCCAGCGATTCATCATGAAGCGGACGATCGACAGTCACACATTTATATTTTGAGAAGCTTGTTTGGAAGTTTTGAAAGCCAACTTTGAAATTTGAAAGCATATTTGAAATTTTAGATGATTTCACACTTTTCAGCACAAAATCAGGTTTCAACAATGCCAAACGTGCAGTTAAAAATGTAAAAAAAGTTTCAAAAATGCCTACCTAAAATGTCAAACGTGTGTTAAAACTGACAATATAATACAAATTGAAAATGTAATAATGTGTTACCAATAATATAATCATTGACAGATAATGTAATAACCGATATCGTAAGAATATTTTCAACCGCTATTGCAATAACTATTTTACTGATATTGTAATAACATCATACAATCGCTTGGTGTTTATGACAAAACAAGTATTTACGGACGAAATATGTCGTTTATGTCGCATGTAGTTTCAATTTAATTGAAAATCTTTAAAGGGGAACCGAGGGTATTATTAGGGTAAGATGGCAGCCAAATTAATTAGGTCATTTCCATCTGCCTAATTCTCTTGCTATATACTGGGGGATTTTAGAAGCCTAAGACTCTTGAATTGGATTTAAGGAATTGAATATAAAAATATATGCATTATATTATTTGAACAAAAAGAATACCACTGTCTTTTTCCATGATAATTGTGAAATAAGGTATATTATATTACATAGTTGACCCAAGATTACAGTTTTAGGAGTATGACAGCTCTGACGGATGTGCATAATCTCAAAGTAACCCAAATATGTAAGTTAATTTTTATTTGAAATGATTTCCCATCGAGTTTCTTTCGAGTTATATTTGTGAATCGTGTTTGAATAGTTTACACTTTGGAAAATCCTAACATTGTGAGTCCCAAACTATCTGAATATAAACGAACAAAAACAAAGTGCCCAGAAATGTGCACGTGTATCTTTATTTGAATGAAAACTGTTGGGGGACAATTTGATACTGAATAAGTATCTGGGACTCGTCGTTAAACTTGGTTCCCACTCTAGGTTCGAAATATTTAACTGGGGTTTCACCGGGGGGGGGGGGGAACTGCCGCAGTTGACACTCCGCGGGCTGACAGAAGCACGATCACAGCGATAACACTAAACTCGAACACATTATTATCGCAGAATCCCTGAAGAAACTCGATGTGTAAGTCCAGTAGTACGTACAAAACTAAGTATGTTTACAATGCAAAGTTCCGCGAGAAAACTTACAGCAGACAGCTCACTGGTAAAACAAATAGCGAATTCTACTTTTTTTTAGTATTTACCCATATAGTGAGTAAAACCCGTCCTGATTGGTCAAACTGTGATCACTCTCACATCATGAATAAATGGAAAAGTAAAACGAAATAATCGATGTACTATGTAAAGATACAATAAATGATAACGATAGAAATAATAGGTTATTGATTGCAAATATTCTCGATGTATTATCGATATTCTCAACCATAAAAACAATTGATACACTGACATAATTCCCTTATAAATCTTTATTATGTTTACAAATATCCTAGAATTAAATCTGCAATATCTGTCACATACATTTATATGAACATCCTCTATGACGTCAGACGTTTACAAAATGTGATAATTACTACTCCGGTATAATCCTTTTGTCATATAATAATTCATAGTATGGCATGGCTTCCTCGATTTGCTTCACTCCGTAGTCAGGAAGACCCTCCAAATCAACAGTTTCATAAGACATTGGTAGGAACTCACGACTCCTAATGGCTGCTCCTTTAAATGCTTCAGTGAAGAATGACTGACTGAACAATTTGTGCCAATGATCATTGTTTCCTGGTTCCCAATTCAACATCTTATCCTGAAACTGTAATCCAACTTTCTTGCAATACTTTTGTAGTATTTGACGTGGATTATTACACAGGTCGTAAGCATCAATAATGATGGCTTCCTGTCCTAGCATTTCTGTTACGTACACAAAAAGATCATATAGCTGTTTGACCCCGCCACTAGAGGGCAGCCATTCATCAAACTGAATACCACACCCGATAGTAGCTTTGTAATAACTCGGGATTGTTCTTCTCGGATCTCGGATAATAAAAGTGTGCCGATAGTCACGTGGAAGCCGACTATAGTCATTGTCTAATGTATAAGCAATGTCTTTGCAAAAAATTGCACTCTTCCCTGGGTAATCATTCTCTAATTTTTGTTTGACACTTTTATATGTATGTCCTTCAACAAAAAACGCCTTTTCTCTTTCCAATGGTCTATCCTCCCCATTATGGAACACTAAATTGTACAGTTCATGGAACATTTTTACGTTATCCAGCGCCGCTACGGAGAACTCGAGGACCGTTGACAGTGAACGAGGATAGGCCCATAACATTATTCGGCGGGGGTTGTCGGTAGTACTCATTCTCACTCAACTGACCTACAAACGAAAAAAAATACCATAAATACCAATGTTGAGTGGAGAATCGAGTTATTTTTAAAATCATGTGACAATGATATTGCGTATCGGTTATCTCAGTACTTCCGTTGCTAAGTTACGTCTTGACACTTATACAATAAAAAATATTGCGTATAGCGGATTTCTGGAGTCCAATGAGATCTTGTGTAGTTTAGAAAGTTTGTAATCGTGTAACAAAAATCACTTTCGTGTGTTGTGTTCAAAGCGAACGCTGTCATTTACCGCTATGTTTTATATTCTTTTTTTTATTTCCGAGTTATTACTGGTTGATTCATCTTATGCACACAACTCTTTGCTAACAGTCCCCATTACCAAATGGTGCGAAACCATTAGCCAGTAACTTAGTGTACATTGCGCAGAAAAATAAAATATTTTTTCTAAATTCAGTGGGTAACTTATGAAATGTACGTTAACTATTCAGTAGATGAACATATTAATTGAAAGCATTGAATTGCAGAATAATCATGGTTCTTTATAATTGCGAATCGTGTTTGAATAGTTTCTATATTGTGAGTCCTAAACTGTCTGAAGCTACCTCAAAACTTAATTTACGTTTTGACACTCAACACGTCTTGTCATCACTTTTGTGTCATACCTGTTTTTTAGTAGACTGCCATATTAGATAAAATAACACCACATGACAGAACTGGCACTCATCCACACTTAATGGTAAAACCAGTTCCACACAATGAAACTGTTATCGCAACCATTATATGCGCATACCAGTTGTTCAACAAACTGTTAAGTTATGGTTTCTGGCGTTTGAATGTTTTAGTGACGTTCACTTGGACGGCAATGGATTTATGTTTTACTTACCATGTAAGGTTTTAAAACTATGCTAAAATATTGATTATTAAACACACTTTAATTTTCGGATATTCTAATTTTTAATTGCACCTATTGTGTCTCGGTGATTGAATGATAGAAATTAGTATTTTGTTATGAACAAACGTTGAGGAAAGGGAGACTGTGACTCGCTTGGCTGATAAAACTTACACATAGAGCTACAAGATTCGACCCAGTGGATTACACATTAGTTCATTACAGATAATCCAGCTTTATTCACATATTTCTCTCCTTCCTCCTCTCTTACAAAAGGTTACAAACTCTTATAAGTCAAGTCTCTAATGCGTGGCTGAGTAAACATGCGATCAGCCGATCGCTGAAGTCGGTGGCCCGATCACGTGATTACCAGGGATGTGTCTCACGTTTAAAGCCCTGCAAAGTTGCCAATACTGAATACAATCTATTTATCGAATTCCTGTAATATATGTTTATAATCTCCACCCTAAACATGCAACGACGAGTGAACCGAATGTGCGAACGTGAAGTCGCTATCATAATAACTTTTAGTACTATTTGTGTACACTATGACGCCTCCCCACCCCATACACTGTTCACTGGACTGAAACGTTGACCCGCATGGCTACAATCTGACATTTATTAAGCATTCACGCCATTAATCATGTGGTATACGTTTCTGGTATGTCAATCCTCTAGTCGCACAGCAGGTACCACTGCAGAGCAACTAGTGCATGACAAAACATTGCAGGGAGTACGACTAGTATGTGTCAACAGCCGGTAAAAAACATCGGTATGGAAACAACAATTTACCAACCTGTATTCTAGTAACATTATGGCAATAAATAAATAAGAATATATATGGCCGGTAGTGCACAATTTAAGCGAATGACACCAGCTTCCGGTGTCACTGAACGTGTTTAAGTGTTCGTAGAAACACAGTCCCTTTGTGGTAGAAACAGTGAATTAGGATGCAATTTTACGAAATATCTACACAAACATTGGCATTGACCAAAAAACCGGGTGAACGTGTACCTAAGATTTACCCGAGTTGACCCCTGGAAAGTTTGTGAGCAGAATTGGAAATTGCCCTAAACGGGCCCATTGGACTGTAAGAAAGTTGTTTGGTAAGTGCCTTGATGCGTCGAAGAAAAACTATAATAAACTCTATGCCTCGCCTGTATGGAGGGGGGGGGTTGGCTCGTATCTAGTATCTAGTATCTAGTGTATAAATATAAGTGTAGGCTACAGCAAAAATCACAAAAACTGGTTATGAACCAGAGTGGGTTTACGAATCAGCTCTTGTGAATAGTTCATAATAAATTCTATATATGCCACGCCTTCTACTTAGCCGATAAAGCGGTACACACATCCATTCGGTTTTCTTGATTTGTTTTCCTGGACTCACTAGTATTTGAAGTTAGTTGTGTATCACAGACCGACGATGCACGTGTGCAGCACAATAAATTGAACTCACCAATAAAAATAGAAAGGCAGCGTCTATGATAAAGGGGTCCAGCGAGACACGTTAGTAGTCCTCACCCATTATGCATTGACGTCAGACAAGCACCACGTGACTTCACTGCCGAACACTATAAAGTAACATGTATCCCAGGTCATCTGGGTGCGACCATTTTGCTAGGGGTGTATTCAAATACACTGTTAGTGTAAACATGAAGCGATTTATAAAACATATGTAAAAAGTTCTTTGATACCATGCGCCTATTCTAATATTTCTATGATGGTACATACGATAGTGTAATTGTAATCGCAAATATGCACTCCATTGAAGCCTATCCAAAGACATTATGCAAAAACATAGCAGTTCTGGTTTGTTTAATTTTTCAAACACCCATTTGAGTAGCATCCCTAAAAAAAGACAATTTTTTTAACTACCTAAAATCATTTACTGAAGAAGAAACATTTTTAGATTTTTCTTTTCGCGCAATCTTAAGACACGTTAGGATTTTGTAAAACTTGAAATGCACGTTTGACATTTTTGATTTTACTGTAAAATGCCGAACATCTCAAAAATTAAACATCCTGTACTCCATATTTTAAAAAAAAATTTAAAAATTCCAGGACGTATAGTGGAATTGGAAAAATATAACTTATTTATGTTAGAAATATGTACACAATCGTTTAACAGTATGTTTATTTGAATATTTCATGTCAAATGTTGGTTTGTAATTGGCAAAAGCGATATGGTGTACACCGTTATCAAATTGCGCATTTAAAGGGTTACATCATATGGGAAATGTTTTAAGTTTCTTGGTTGCCATGTTACCGAGTGCATGTCCGCGACTGAAAGAGGGGTCGATGTTCTATTTCGTGAGTCCGCCCGCCCAGGTTATAGTTGCATTTCCATTTGCAAATATGTGTGCAACCATCATCGACCAATATTTACACTGTCAAATGCTGAAATTGTGAACAGAATGTTTAATTTAATATCATGTTGTTTAGCTAAAACAGTATTATGTGAATACATTTAATGTTTTTAACTAATTTTTGTACATATTTACAAACGAGTGATTTTTTCTCATTTCACTTTTGCATGATGTCTTTTGTCTTTTTATCGTAATGTTAAAATAACATATACATCTGACTAACTCGCATAGAATTCTCGTTCAAATCACACAATTTCCAAATGTCAATATCACTGTATTTGATAAAATATTACCTACCACATTGTATTTGTTATTCGTCCTATTTTCATTGGACTGATCTTTGTATGAAGCATCCATTTTGTCCATGCTACACACTGGAGAGGGAAAGAGACAACTATTGGATTAGATAATTAGCTACTACCATGCTATATGGTTACTATGACAACAAATATTGGCAACCTCTCAAGTACGGGATGTAAGTATGCCAATATTATATTCCGGTTCCAACCTCTAAGCGTCGAAGACGTAGTAATGAATATAGACATTGTCATCGACCTAAATTGAATTGTGCTACCTTATTGATTACATTTGATATCCTGTTGGTACACATGGATCTTCATCATATACGCACCTCACTACTTTCTTTTCCACTCGGCGACTTGAAACATTTTAGAAATTATGTATTTAGCCAGGGTCAGACTAATTAATATTAATGTTATTTCACTGTGTAGGTTTTCCAAACCTGTCCAATCGAAACTTTAAATAAAGATGTCAATGTTATCAACATCAGCAATATACTAAATATGAAGGTTACCATGACCCCTTAGTCCCCAAATCAGTATGTTCTTAGTCTGTCTTGTACATACTGCAATACAATAACACACAACGTTAAAAAGGCATTGAAACGTGTAAATTATGAAACTTTGTGACTGTCATTTAACTACACCCCAATAGGCCATATTGTCACAAGTAATCTGAATATTGTGCAAAATGCTGGATGTCGAACGATAATGGCATGTGAACCAAAATGTGGAAAGTTTCGTCATATCAATTTATAATTTTAAAATCCCAATAAACTCTGTTGAAGAGTATGCCAATAAATGAGAAAATATTGAACCTGGCAGTCAGAATGGACCAGTGTATTGCCACATTAATAAACTACAATCATGCTTCAAAGCAATAGTCTTGCTTCTCTCCATGGTACATATGTTATTGTGTCTACTGATAAACCTGCCAATAGTATTGTGTTTGTTTGTATGAGATATTATTATGAATGTTTAATCAAGGGACTTGTTTTTTATACATCTCGTAATTCTGCCTAAAACATGAATGACATTCTTGCTAACCAGGGGTCATTCGTGACCACATTAGAAGTTTCCACTCCAGAAAAGGCCAATGACTTGCCCAGCTATTGAATACCTAAGCCACAAAACACATCATACAACATTTCTACTATCAAACCTATTGATTTTCCGGACCACATGACAGAATTAAAATTAAAATATATCATCCATTAAGCTTTTTTTTCAAAAGAACATATTTCACCATGATACAAATATGACACTGATGCAAACATGTTTTACACAGAAGATAACATCGTCAGCATGCAATAATGTTTGACTGACTGCCTCTAATCTGGATGCCATTCTTGAATTTGACTCTTAGGGTAACGTTTCTACAAGATTTTACCATCATCATTTTTACCATCTAGGCAGTAATATACCACTTTTTCCTACACATGGTATATTTTCAAGCTTGTTCGATATGCAAGAGCTTGCAGTGCTTATGACTCTGTGAAACGCCATAGACTCCTGTGTTCTTATTTCAACGTTTTTAGGAAAAGGTCTTATCTCTACATTCAAGCTTCATTATGGCAGATATCATAAAAAACTTGTGACAAAATATGACAAATCACCTAGGCAGATGATCTCCGATTTTTCGACATCATTTGTCCTGTGTAAAAGGGCCCATCATGAATTGATATGGCTAAATAAACTGAACTAAACCTGACATCTGAAGTAACTTGATTAAGAAACGAATAAATTGGTAGTGCAAATATGTATTTGAAGGCAATAGCTGACAATTATACTTAAGACTATCACAATTAAGTGTGTGAGAAGTGTAAGCGAGAGGGATAAGCTGGGAGAGGCCGTAGACAAAAGGGGTAGATCGGGAAGCGAAAGAAAGGGAGAGAGGGAATCGTAAGCGGAAAAGGAAGTCAGGTAAAAAAAATCGGGAAAGATCGGGAGGGTTCGTAAGAAAGATGGAGTGGTTAGAAGGGGCGATAAGTGAAAAGTTGTGACACAAAAGGACTGTAGTGTTTATATATATGAATATTGACCTATAAGAATAAAACGTCTAGACGCAGAAAAGATGTATTTATCTGCTTGTGTATAGAAATTATATAAAACTATTTTGAATAACTTCCTCGGGTAGCTTTTATCAAATTAGCAGACATTTATAATCTTGATCAGTAAGTTCCGATTGAATTTGTATACAAAGAAATCTCATCATGAATAACTGCATCAAAACCATTGTAATTACAATTCAACAGATAAAACCCCCAGTAAATACTTTATGTGACAAATGTAATTGAATTGCCATAGCATTGAAATGAAAATATTATTATTTTATTATCTATTATTATATATTTATATATCAACCATGGTCGGCTATGCTATATTCTAAGTGTGACCTCTGCATTAGATAAAATTACTAATAGTGTGGATTGTAATGTATCAATGAAGGTAGCTTCAAAGTTACACAGATGGCTATATTACTACACTAGTCACTACCAGATATGCATTACAATATTAGTGAGTACCACATATAGTCTTAAAAGAGCACCACTAGTATTACAATTCAATTCATATTTTCTGGTCCCACTATAGTGCATTATGTATCCTGCGCTCCACTGTGCTACACTATTTTTCTAGGTATTATACGATCTCACTACAGTGCAGTGTGTGTCTAGATATCATAAGATCTCTTACTACTGCATAACATTATTCTTTTGTGATCCTTTTGTCATATAATAATTCATAGTACGGCATGGCTTCCTCGATTTGCTTCACTCCATAGTCAGGAAGACCCTCCATATCAACAGTTTCATAAGACATTGGTAGGAACTCACGACTCCTCATGGCTGCTCCTTTAAATGCTTCAGTGAAGAAAGCCTTTTTATATAATATATACCAATGATCATTGTTGCCTGGTTTCCATTTCAACATTTTATCCTGAAACTGTAATCCAACTTTCTTGCAATACTTTTGTAGTATTTGACGTGGATTATTACACAGGTCGTAAGCATCAATGATAATGGCTTCCTGTCCCAGCATTTCTGTTACGTACACAAAAAGGTCATACAGTTGTTTGACCCCGCCACTAGAGGGCAGCCATTCATCAAACCGAATACCACATTCGGTGGCAGCTTTGTAATAACTCGGAATTGTTTTTCTTGGATCTCTGATTATAAATGTGTGTTGATAGCCACGTGGCAGCCGACTATAATCATTATCTAATGCATAGGCTATGTCTTTACCAAAAATTGCTGTTTTGCCGGGGTAATCTTTCTCCAAGGTTTCTTTGACGCATCTGTACGAAAAACCTTCAACTAAAACTGATTGTTTTCTGTCAGTTGGTTTATCTTCACCGTTATGAAACGCAAAATTATACAGTTCGTGAAAAATGTGTATTTTATCCAAGGCTGCGACAGAGAACTCCATTGCTGTTGACAGCGAACGAGGATAGGCCCATAACATAACTCTACGAATGTTGTCACTATTACTCATTGTCAAATCTATGCAAACAAAATAAAACAAATTATTACATGTTGAATAATAAGTGAATAACTTATAAAGGTGTAACTGTGCATCAAAATCAGTGCTCAGTATCTACTTTAGTTCTTCACATAACTCTACCATGTCACGATCACCAATAAACCGCTACTGATATATCATATACCGAATCTATACTTATGTCATTCACCAGAGAATGTTTTACATTTCAAAAACATTGTTCTCCAAAGCGAGATTTGAAAATTAGCTCATGTTCAAGTGTTTTTGATATGTAATTTTATGGTAATTCTCTGATCGTGAATATTGGAAATAATTTTGACAGAACATGCTCACAGAAAAGTGTCTATCAGTGTCCGTTTGTACATATGAAATGCTGGGTATTCTGCCAAATCTGTGAGAAATTCGAAGACACAAATATATATGAAACGTCAGACAACTAAATAATACCTGCAATTACCATGTTGAATTCGAAAATGTACAATGTGTAACCATATCGAATTTGATGTACAATTTGGCGTTACTACTTTGGCCAGATTAAAACCTCCGTATAGTACTAATGATATCAGTTCCTTAGCAGAAATACACCTTGAGACATGTATATATGGATGTGATGTAATCTCTGTATACATAATAATAACTTTAAATTTATTACGCAACTTAACCATCTGTGGGTTTAGTAAGGTAAAAAATGATTACAAAGACAAATAAAATAAGACAAACTAAATCACTAAATTAAAATACACTGAAACAAAAGAAAGAAAAAAAAAATAGATAATCTCCGAAAATTGTATTAAACAGCAGCAAGGTTCTCCCAGACCACAGTTACATAATTTACTTTAGAAAATTATATGTTTTAAATAATATGATAAAGCCATATTATTTCCCATTATTTTCATGAAGCTCTCCATTCTGGACAACTCATTAATTTTTATTTTAAAATACTTCAAGACATGTTTTCTCTCTACTTCATAGAAATTGCAATCTAAGATGAAATGCTTTTCATCTTCAATTTGATCTGAATTGCATTTTTTGCAAGTTCTTTCATTTTTTGTGGTTTTTGGTTTACTCTTTCTTCCCAATTCAATTCCAAGGTTGTGGTCACTGAGTCTGAACTTTGCTAAAAATCTACGTTGATTGGAGTTTTTCATTTCATTTAGATAGTTTTCCAGTTCAAAATTTTGTTTAAATATACATAATTGTATACATAATACATAACAGAGTAATCATCATATTTCCCGGAATCCCCTCTGTGTGGCCACCTAAATTTGTATGAATTCGATTAGCATGGGATGTTATGTTTTTGAGATTATTATTGTTAGTTCACTAGCAGCCGATGTTATGAGAATTGTATTTGCAGCAGTATAATCAGTGGTGGTTGTGTGTGTGATTACTCCCTGTGGTGAATAGTGAGATGGAGAATATCACTGCTAGAAGGTCGTGATGATAGAGCTTTGTAGATGTTATACTTAAATCAGCGACCGTGCTTGGATTACAAGAAGAAAATATCGATGCAGAATGAACCAGAACCAAAACAGGTGAATTTGACGTTAATTGACAATATTTAAGCTTCAACTGTAATTTCAAAATTCAATCACAAGACATGTAGAATCAAGGCATGATTGACTCCTTGCATCGATTAATATTTGAATATAAACCTGTTGCACAGACACATGTTTCGAGTCTGAACATTATGAATGATTTTTTAAAACCAAACAACTACAGAATACAGGGAAACGTTCCATTTGGTGGAAGTCATTGCTGTGTCTCACATGCGTGGGTAATTAATTGGTGGACAGTGAGCATTCAGTCTGAACCATGGTAGCATACAAGTAACATGTCATCTCATTAATGGCTTTACACACCTGATATCAAAATGATATCAGCCACTCACCAAAACGCTACAGATGTTTTTGATATAAGTCCAAAACAAACCTCACTGAATCAGTCGCTACAGCATTGCCATTTTTCATTGCGTCAATGTGATTGGATCATTTTGATCATAGGGGTGTCTGTAACTATGGCTTGAATGCGTTTCAAAACAATTCATTTGCTATAGGCATAACACAAACACTATGTTGGAGAATTCACTTATCAAATAATAATTATTAAAAATCAAAATGAAAATAAAACATCTCAAAACTCAAAAATTACAAATCAGATCAGAACACATCTCTGCCAATAATAATGTAACGTTACTTGAACCTCAGACTAGTAATACATTGTATTACTAGTCTGAGCTTGAACACTATATTCATATATGCTTTGACAGATTACAATACAAGCATTACTTTATCCATGCACAACGATACACATTATTCCGATCCACAATATATTGAATCCACTTTTTTATAGATTAGAAATTAATTGTGACTTAATTGGGTAGTATTAAATCTTGTGAATATATCTATTTTTATTTTATTGTATATTTATAATTTTTGCTGTTTTTTTAATACTTGATTTGTACAAAGATTGTATCACTGATGGCCTCCACCTCGCATCACACTGATCACAGGCATGGAATAAAGAGGTTTGGTGTGATTAATTTGCACCGATTGCTTAAGTATATAATCATAAAGAAACACAGGCACATAAGTGTTGCCACACAAGTTTTGTCAATAATGTTGACCACTTGGTATTTTTTACGTCATTATGACAGTGACCTCGTTGACCTTATTTACATGCTACCATGAACATATGTAGATAAACATATTTGACCTGTGTCATGCTCTTTTGTTTTTGTGTAAGATATTACAATTAGTGTTTCCTGTCCTGAAATCAATTTACTTGGAGCCGAAATTCTTGCAAATACTGATGACAAATTAGTAGTGCCTAATGTTGGACATTTGGATATTTGTATCAGCCTAGAGATGTAAGATTGCACGACACTGTTCTCAATTGTAAGATTGTTGAACATTGATTTAAATTATTTTTACAAAAGTTGAATCTTTCAGGGTGAGCATTGTGGTGTCATAGTGATTGGTGATCACTACAAGATTGTTCCTCATTGGTTGTGGTGTATTAACAAACTTGGCAGAAGAAACACAATAGTTACCCCAATAGAAAAGATAACACCTGCAACAAAATAACTACCAGAGGATCGTGGGCTGAGTACTGAGACTCCTAGATATATTAGACCAGGATATAAACCCATAAATCCCTTAATTCGTGACCTCAGTGATGGGTTAGGATTAGGTTCACCAATTTATAACTGAGTTGGCGGTGCCGACATTAGATCAAAAAAGTAACTAATGCCTGCAATGAGATGCCTATTCGTGTTAAGTCAAAGTATAAGGCCATTAGGACCAAATTGCCCAGGGTACAATACTTCGCGAATCTTTATTTGCTGCATAAATATGTAATGCCTGACACTGTTGTCATACTTCAGAATGGTTGAAGCTGAAGTGTTAATGCAAGAAGCCTTCATGGTTTTGTGTAGGGAATTGGTGGTGCAGTTGAGACCCTGCTACTGGCATAAACTGGTCGGAATCCTACTAAGGTGATTCCCCAACATGATGCTTTATTATGAGCATGTTGCATGCACAAGGCAATGTTTTTGGAACATATAGAACTAGTTAGGGTACACCACGAACAACCTATAGTGTTACCACCTTGCAAAGTTACTACTGTTACTGGAAGATATGCTATACAGTATGTTGACCCAGGCACAGCACTCGTGGACTGAATTTGAGTTTGACATGACTTTGTCATGTATCACTGGGAGCCAGATGAGGTGGTTAGTAGATGTGTAGATGTTTGACCATAATCAGTAAACTTCTCCCAAGGTCACACACCTGTCTTGAACGTCCCATTTAAGCACATGTAAATTGTATTAGAAATAATGGGTTTCTGGGAATTTGACCCACTGGTATATGTCAGATATGTCAATTTCACCATCTGATCAGGAGTTTAGCTTCCATCAACTTTCGTTATCCCTCAATCTATTTTGCCCCTTACAAAAATATTATGCAACCAAGAAATTAATTCACAAAGAAAATTGGGCCCTACATTCAAACAATACTTTTTAATATTACAGGTGTGAAACCCAAAGTATGACAATGATAGATACACAGTAAAAAAACATCGACCTCAAGATTGAGATACATCAGTGACATGGAAGCATACCTCCCAAATTGAACAACGAGGTATGCTGAAACGCACGATGGATCGTAGCATTATACAAGAATTACAGTTATTGGGAATCTCCTATTGTCTTGTTTAAGAAAATGTTGCTGCAGTGTAGATGCGTTGATTATCGTAGGCTGAAAGTACTATCCCATGCATAAAGGAGCAAGGCTAACCGAGTCGTGACCTCGATGTGGTTCGTAACCAGTCTTGTGATTGGTTGTTGACAAATGCTGAACAGGCCACGCCTCCAACTGTGCCGCGCGTTCGGCCAAATCGTTAGGAATTCCTAAATGGAGTAAATTTGTGTAGTTTTCTTGATTTATTCTGCAGATATCGGTAAAATGTAGGTAAGGCTTTGGCGAAATTTGAAGAAGCAACTAATATTCTTCAACCTGGTATTTTTTTTAGATTTTATTTTTTATTTTTTATTTTTTATTTTTTTTAAAAAATGTGAGCTGGCTGGAGCCTTCATCCCTTGTCTATTTCTTACACTAGATACCAGCCGATACCCCCTCCCCCCCCCCGCTCATAGAGACTGCGTATTACAGTTGATTATAGTTCCTGGGCTCCCTGTGATTTATTGTTGTTGATGGTGAGTGAATTTGCATGAGTCACTGTGAAACTGCCTCGATCCATCCCGGACCTATCACATTAAAGTGTTTGCCCTGGTTCATGTCCAAGTTGTTAGAAATTGGGATCTGGCCGAGGTGTGGTATAAAACGGGTTGTTTATGTATTTTAAAAGTGGATTGAATCAGTGGCATATCACTGTTATTCCCACACGTGGACGTTGATGCTACATAACTGGCGCCTACGTGTTGGGGTCATATAACTGGCGCCCGACGTGGAGGCCTGTGGTGGATTTAAAAA